TAACAACCAAGACAGTTACTGGCTGTGAAGGACATTGGTGACTCCAGCTCCTTAAACAACCAGTTAAAATAGAACACTTGTGTTTTTTACCACATGCCTGGACCATTAAATAATTACTGCATGCATTTATTCCTGTGAATTAACTTTAACCCCTTCCTATGCGGTATTTACTGAGCGTTTTGACAGTTTTGTTGTAAGTACTGCATAACAGTATAGTGAATAGACCGTTTCAGGATCACATGCAATATTTAGGGAAAATTTGGCTGATTTGGCTCACATTTCCTCTGTGCTCTACCTGAACAGAGGCATTTAATTGTGACCTTACCCCATTTGAAAATTTGTGTTCGGGAGAGTCCCCGATCCGCCATGCGATTTCACAGTCTTACCAATTATTGGTCTCCCCTCTCTCATCATACAAACTGCCATACATTGTCAAATGGGAAGGAGATTTGGGGTTAAGTTTTACTGACACGCAGGTGTAGAGGATCCTCAAATTCACGTATAAGACTTCAGTCTGTTCTAAATACCAGGAATCTGGTTTTAAATTGCTGACACGCTGGTATTACACACAACCCAAATTACACAAGATGTTCCCTCAATATACTTCACATTTTCTGGTCTTCCAACCAGCTGCAGGCTTTATGGAACAGTGTGCATCAAATATCTCAGAAATTTACGGACCATGTGTTACCCCGAAAACCTGCTTTCTACCTAGTGCATTATCAAGACTATCCTGACAAGTCCTATAGGAGATCCATTCTGCCTTTATTACTTGTATCCCCCTCTTTTGGAAATGAAAACAAGCACCAACCGTTTCCACCTAGTTGCGAAAAGTTACGGACATTAATGAGATGGAGGACATGGTGGCTACGGAATGAGGCAACCGCACAAAATTCCTTAAGAAATGGCACTATTGGCATGAATTTATCTTCTCAGAGGAATAAGCTACTCTGCTGGTGTAGTCCACTAGACTGTCCTGTTCTATGATCTTGTAAAGCTCTGTAATGGTCTGTGGGGGAATGGCGTTGCATAGGTTCCCCCTCTTCTGACTCCCTCCCCTTTTTCTTTTCTCCACCCCTTTCTCCCTCTTCTCTTTATCTATTTCTTTACCTGACTGCTGTGTTTTTTTTTATGGAAAAAAGAAAAATTAAAATGGTGCAGCGCGGGGCACAAAAAACTCCCCCTATCCTGAGACATCTGAACTAAGCAGACAGGTATCTTCTGTGCTTACGGAGTTGGACCTGCAAGCCCAATTACTCAGGGAAGGTACGGTGTGTTAAATTACATTGTCTGTTTCTCATGTAACATGTTAATCACATGTGTGGGTCTCTGGAGAACCTCAGCTTGTTCAATGAAGCTTTGGCAATGAAACCTGGAAGCTGATTGGTTTCTATGCAGAAGGGAGTCTGATTTTGGACTCTCCAGCTTTAGTAAATAAACCCCAATGTGTCTATTTTCTGTCAAATCTTAAATTTATAATGGTATGAGTTACACTTAAATACAAGTGTGTCTCAACTGAATTTTTTTTTCTGTCACTACATATAAACAGTTTTGTTAGGTATATATTTTATAAAACACTTTCTGTTATAGTGCTCTAAAAGTGTTTTAAATATTGTTGTTCTAAGGGGAAGGTAAACAAATGTTTAGGTGCATATTTCTGCTTACTGAGAAAAAAAACTGCAGACTTTCAGTTTCTTGCAAATATAACAACACAATACTTGACACTCTCTGCATGTTCACAATGAGGTTTCATGGTACAGTGAACAAATTACGTTCAAATTTGACAATTTCCCGTGACATGCTGTGACCAAAGGCCAATACTGCTTCAAACAACATTTGGACGACTGAGGTTTGTATATGTCTTTGCTGCCCAGCCACCTAAAATCCCTGTGTTCTCTAATTATGTCATGACATATTGGGACACATTATGCCACAGGATATAAAGGGAAAGCTGGATTTAATCAACCCTATATCATTGTAATATTTGAATTAAAAAAGTATTCCATGCTGATTACATCTGTTCCTCCAAACCATTTATTTTTCCCCCTTGTAACATTAAGGAAAACAAAATGTTTTTGACCACAGTTAATGCTGTGGCATCAATTATCTGCTAGGAGTTCACAAATAAGCAAAAGGCTGGAGGTAAAGCATTTTTTATGTATTTGAAGCTTCTTTGGCACAGTTTCATTTTGTTAAGATTCCAGATAGAACAGAGAAGCTTTACAAGACAAACCAAGCTTTTATTTTGCCGTGAAGGCACTTTTCAATAAAAAAACTGACAAAAGTGTTTAAAAAAAATACAGATTGTTTTTCCTTTTTCTCTTTGTTGTTTAAAATAAACTCCTACAATCACTAAGTTCCATGTTGTTATCACGTTGCAGTAAAATGTCATACAGGCCCTATTAAGAAAGTTAGTTCCTATGGTGCCACTGGTAGCAGCACTTTCTACACTTTCGACAATTTCTAAACTTTGCCTCACTTCCTAAATTCTCTAAATGTTTCCAGGTCTGCCTTTTAGTAAAATTTTTAAAACCCAACAATCCCTTGTTCATGTTCACACACACATAGCTCCATACACATATACTGTTGTAATTTCTAGATCTAATAACCACAAGATGTTAATAGTATATATACTATATTGTTACTTCCATGAACTCAATCAAAATTATTTGCTAACCACAAAGACGCAAAACAAATTCCTTATTATCTAATGAAGAGCTAAATGATTTTAAATGCATTTAACCCAAATATCAATGTCAAGAACTAGGAGCCAAGAGAGAGCTTACTGAAGCTAAGCATATAGGATCTGATATATAGGATGTTTTTTTGAGGGGGTTTAAATGCACAATAGGGAACAATGGGCCAGAATTGGAGAATAAATGTGACATATGTGAGTCAAAGTTCATACTATTCACAAACAGGAATCCAGGGGTGCAATAAAAATATTTTGATAGGGATTTAGAAAACTAAAGTCCACATTCAGACCTTGTGTCAAAACAAAAAATTATATTTGTAGTTCAAAGGTTTTCCTTACCTGAGTATTTCTAAAGTTTTCTTTAAGAACCAAAATATTCATGTCTTTCATACAGTGGTCTGGTCGTGGGAAATTATGTCCTACAGCTATGCAGTAATAATTTTCCATTTATATTCTTTCATGGTGTATCTGCATAAATTAGTTCTGTCATTTCTGTTCTGTTTCAACAATATAACATCCCTGGATGCACCTGTTGCATTAAATAAAGTATGCCCACACCATTGAAGGCACCACTGTGTGATCCTCTAATATTGAAAGTTACTTTAGTTATGTGAACCTTTTTTAATAGATTAATGTGGCTGTACACTTTATAGCATTTATTGTTGCAGGGTTTTGTTCCCTTTTTTTCAAAGGAATTCCTTTGTTCCAAGGGAACAAAACCTACTTTCTAATTTAGATAAAACATGTAACCATTACATACTGTGACTATACAGAACACCAGGCTTGTTACAAAATACTCCAAAGGAGTTCCATGCATAGTACAGTAGGTGTATAAACAACTTGTATGTCATTTCTTTGGAATTTTTCTCCATCCAGAATTTTTCTTCAGTAGAACCAAATATGATCTTTCAACATGATAGCATAATAATGTTCTAAAGCACACTAGCCCATTTACCAAGAAACAGCGCAAAAGAAGAAATGGAGGGTTATTGTTACCAGGAATGAGCTCATGTGTGATCAGATGGTATGGGATCCCTCATGTCGCAGACTACTGCCAGCCAGTTTTCACCAGAGCTCCTGAAGGTTAAGATGGATCTCATACTTAGTTCCAGGTCACTACCCGGGGTCAGTAGGGGGCCCCATGAGATGCCCCTGGTACCTTTTTCATAGGCTTTTTTGAGTTTGCGCAAGGACACAGGGGCCCCATGATCCCCTATTGTCCGGGGGCCCCATGAGTTGCCAGTCCACCCCTGTTCACTACCCTGCTGTGACCTGTGAATACTAACCTACAGGAAACTAAAGGATAGAGTAAAGAGGAATATGAGTAACGCTGGCAAGAACCAGAACCTGGAAACAGACCAAAAGTTGGGGTAGGTAGCAGACAAGTGAAGAGGAAAAGCCAAGGTCAGTGCACAATAAGAAAGTCAAGAAGCAGAAAACAAATGAAGTCACTCAGAGTCAAACAGAAACATTGCTTTGTAGCTTGACACTGGAAGGAAGGTAATTTAAACAGACATAGCCCCTTTAGGTGCTCACCTATGATATTATTGGTCGTTAACTCCAACAAGAAGTTTAGAAATGCTGTGGGCTGAGTAGAAGCCAGACAGCACAAGAACAAAGATGATAAATGACAGTAATTTACTGGTTTAGTCAACACCCTAATTTTAATTTAATTGAAATGTTGTGGAAGGAATTAAAACAGGCAGTTCTTGCAAAAGAGTTGCAACTGAAGGAATTTTGCATGTTCACAATTTTCACAGCATCAATGAGTTTTTTTTTTCAATTTAACCACATACAGTGCAAGTAATTTCTGATTTAAGGAGCTAAACCAGCTTCTGAAAAAAGGGTGTACTTACTTTTTTCACAGTACATCATTACAACTATTGATATTTTTGTTAAATAAATGACTGAAGAAGAAAGATGTGTGTTTTGTGCAAACATATCATCTTTATCTATAGGCACCTAAAATTCCAGGACAGTACAAATACCCCCCAAATGACCCCTTTTCGTAAAGTAGACAGTCTGAGGTATTTAGTAAGACGCATGGCAAATATTTTTGAAGTTGTCATTTTTTTTTTTGTCAAACTTTTTTTGAAAAAGTAAGAAATGAAATAATTTTTTTCACATACTTTCACCAATGCAATTCATTTGTAATAGCTGTGCTGATCACATGATCCCTGGTCTGCTCAACACAACAGGGTGCCAGGATCTACAATCCACTGTATCTTCACTCCCCAGGTTGGAAGACGTACTGTACATGTATATGATCCAGTCTGCCTGTGCAACCCACCCGCAGTAAATGTACTGTAGACTGGTAGCAACTAGTTAAAGATCTATTCAGGGGCGGACTGACCATTTGGAAACTCGGGCACTGCCTGAGGGCCCGGGTCAGTAGGGGGTCCCATGAGATGCTCCTGGTACCTTTTTCATAGGCTTTTTTGAGTTTGGGCAAGGACACAGGGGCCCCATGATCCCCTATCCCCGGGGGCCCCATGAGTTGTCAGTCCACCCCTGGATCTATTGTTTGCCTTTTCAAATATAGCTTACAACATGTATGTGGTATACTTTCTTTTTTTTACATAACTGAATAAATGTTTAAGTATCTGCACTTAGGGCCACCTGCCCAATACATACTATTAGTAATAGCTTGATGGGCAAATGCCCCATGTCCTCAGTCTAGTCATCTAGTCTCCCTGCCCTGCAGGTGATACGAGCAAAAGACAAGAGCAAATTAAATTTATAGGAGGTTAATGCAGTCGAATGCAGGAAAAAGTGTGATGGCAATCAACCAAATATACCACCTGAATTCATAGATCTCAATTTTTTAGCAGAAGATTCTTTATTAAAGAGGTAGGAAACTGTGTAGAAAAAAAAAACAATATCCCTCTGCAAGTTAATGTCATAATGTCCTAGTATGAATTGTACACTAGCACAGTATGAGAGACTTACCTTAAAAGGAAGCTCTCCATTGGTGTGCTGTCACTGCTGACAGGGCTTCCATTTTCACCTGGTATTCCTTCTGGTTTAGCGGGCTCAGGCCATTTGAATGCCCGAGCCACAAAAACGTCACTTCTGTGCATGTGCATAGGAGACACAATCAAGGCACATCACTCTGAAGGGACAACATACTCAATATGCTGTCCCTTCACAGCACAGTGCGCATGTATCAATGATGTCACAAGCTGAAAACAATTATAAATATCTCCTACGGTTCACGTTTAAAGAGATATTTCTTATACCAATAAGCAAGCTTTATTATAAGTCAGCAAGTGGTCTTTACTTCCGCTTTAATTAACATACGTAATGGTGTGTGTTTTATTATCTGTCTAAAGAGATTTCACATCTAGAAATTAGTTCTTCACTTCATATGCAATGCTTACACCTGATTATCTATAGCTATGACTCCTGTGCAAGATGTAAAATGCTGAAACTGGAAAAGTAATTACTAATTAACTAAAGAACAATGTAACTGCTTGATAATATCAGTTAAGTAAATGATTAGTTTTCCCTAGCATGCAAAATATTAATGACCTAGGTGCATACTCTGGATGCATCTAAGAGAAAATGTTCAGAGATTAAAGCTAAAATTTGCACAAGCCATCTGTACACCAAAACCAATCATTAAATATTCTTCTATACACAGCAAACATAAAGAGATATTATAGACTTAGGGATATAGAATGAAAATAATTTGTGACCAGCAAAACACAAAAATGCTGAGCAACTGGAATCTTAAAGTATTTAGGTTTCAGCATGTGAAATACAAGAACATACACTATATTGGCAAATGTATTGGGAGCACCCCTCCAAATCATTGGATTCAGCTGTTCCAATCACCTCCATGGCCAAAGTTGTATAAAATCAAGCACCTAGGCATGCAGACTGCTTCTACAAACATTTGTGAAAGAATGGGTCGCTCTCAGGAGCTCAATGAATAAGCGTGGTACCTCGATAGGTTGCCACCTGTGCAATAAGTCCATCTGTGAAATGTCCTTGCTACTAAATATTCCACTGTCAACTATTAGTTGTATTATAACAAAGTGGAAACAACTGGGAACAACAGCAACTCAGCCACGAAGTGGTAGGCCACGTAAAATGCGGGGTCAGCGCATGCTGAAGCGCACAGTGCAAAGACGTTGCCAACTATCTGCAGAGTAAATTGCTAAAGACCACCAAACTTCATGTGGCCTTTATATTAGCATAACACTGCATAGAGAGCTTCATGGAATGGGTTTCCATGGCCAATCAGCTGCATCCAAGCCTTACATCACAAAGTGCAATGCAAAACGTCAGATTCAGTGGTGTAAAGCACGCTGCCACTGGACTCTAGAGCAGAGAGAGAATTTCATGCTCCCAACTTTGTGGGAATAGTTTGGGGATGGCCCCTTCCTGTTCGTTCATCCATGTCTTTATGGACCTAGCTTTGTGCACTGGTGTGCAGTCATGTAGGGTTTGTGGTGGAGGAACTTGACTGCCCTGCACAAAGTCCTGACCTCAACTAGATAGAACATCTTTGGGATGAATTAGAGCAGAGACTGTGAGCCAAGCCTTCTTGTCCAACATTAGTGCTCGACCTCACAAATGCGCTTCTGGAAGAATGGTCAAACATTCCCATAGACACACTCCTAAGCCTTGTGGACAGCCTTCCCAGAAGAGTTGAAGCTGTTATAGCTGTAAAGGGTGGGCCAACTTAATACTGAACCCTACGGACTAAGACCAGGATGCCATTAAAGTTCATGAGCGTGTAAAGGCAGGCATCCCAATACTTTTGGCAATCTACTGTATCTTTTTAATAACTTAGGTTTTGCAATATGAAGTATGGTCTTTTTCACACAAGTGGGCAGGGGGTAGTAAACAGTGATTTTTGCTTCATGATTTTAGACCCTCCCCCCCATCCTGACCACCTACATATAAGTGGACATGCCAGCTGAAGGGGTCTTTACACATGTTGCAGCCACTATGCTTTGCTTCATGGCCACTGTAAATTTAACTCTGCCTGCAAAATTTGAAAACAACCAAAAAATGCATTCATGGGGTGGCAGGATCACCTCCAGAACACCTGAATGTTTCTGTTCTACTTTTCTTTGAAAAGTGGTTCACCACTGATTCCTATGTTGCTCTTACCAGTCAGTAAGCATTTTCTTTACATGCTTCTTGGTCAGGTTAAAAGATTGAAGGTAAATGATGGTTGTTTAGTAAAGGAAAATAATGCCTAATACTTCAGAAAGAAATACTTTATTGGAACAAAGTATACACAGCCAGAGCAATTCACTTACAATTAAAGCATGATATTTGCCACATCAAAACTTTGAAACCAATCTGAATCAGCAAGCTCCAATTCAAGCAAAGATAGTACAAACATGTGTCTAAGAGATATAGTGTAAACAGCATGCTTAACCCCCTTACCCAGCATTAACACGTAAAAGCATGTCCATGGTTAATTCTATTGAGGCAAGACCTGGAACATCTAACCAAATAGCCCATACCTTCTCAAATTTGTCTGGAAACCTCCTGTGCAAGTAGATATAGTGTTCCAACCTCAAGGTATCCCCAACAAATCTAATCCATTCCAACAGGAGAGGGTGGATCTTTGGATTTCCAATGCAATAGTATTAACTTGCTTGTCTGAATAGGGCTCTCATTATCATCTCTCTAGTAAGTGTTTGAACTCCCACATCCTTCAGCATGCTCAAAATACAACACTTAGGGTCAAGAGGAATATTGGTTTGGAACACTGAGATAATCATGTCAACCACCCCCTTCCAGTAGGTATGCAGTTTAGACCACCGCCACAATAGGTCTCCATGATTCCTTTTACATATAGAACACATGGAATTAATCAGGATACCCATACTGTGCAGTCTGTGTGGGGTGTAATGACTGCATAGGAGAATGTATAATTGAGTCCGTTTTTGTGACTTTTTGAGCAAGCAAGTAAACAGAGACTGAAAGGCTTCCTCCTATTGGTCTCCTGTAACCAGACCCACATCCCGTTCCCACTGCTCTTTTACCCTCAGGAGATGGTCATGGAGAAAATATGTCAATAACATACCATAACATTGAGAAATTAATCCCTTGGAAGGATCAGATGACCAGATGAGGTTATAAACTGGGGTTAGGGACAGTTGTCACTCACTCGAGGTACCTTGAGCCCTGACTGCGTGGAACAAGTGTGCATAGTAAATGTACATTCTTTGAGACAGGTCATATTCAGCTGAAGTTCAGGGAATGTTAATAAGACACCATCACAGATAATATTATGAAGATGAGTGATACCAAAGGCCCACCATTGTGCACTAAATTGTAACTCTGCAAGTTCTGCATAGATATCATTCTGCCAGATTGGGATATAACTAGCAAAACTTGCAACTCTTTGAAGATATTTGGCTTTATTCCATACTTTCTAAATTGGGTTATACGTGGGATACTGCATGTGTGGTTTGTCAAATGCCAGAGATTTGAGTCACAAGGGGGTAGAGTCCCTTTCAGTAGAAAAAAGCATCAGAGAGGTTGTGGAGCTATGGGGAGGGGGTCTCCTGTCCCACTAACCAGAGGCATGGCTCCAACCAGATGTTGTAATGGGGCTGTTAACTAAAAGATCCAGGGGTTGGGAATATCCACGCCACCATCATCCTTAGAGAGCTGTAAATATTCAGGTTTAATTTGGGGCGTATGTTTTTTTCATAGCAAGCATAGTTGCATACTGTCACAGTCAATCAGCATAAAGCCAGATTTTTTTCAATTTAGAGTGAGACCTGAGTATCGTCCAAATTTATTAACACTTCCATTGCCTCCTACAAATAAGAATCTGTGTCACCAAGCATTATTAAGTGTCATCGACGTACAGCATGACCTTTTCATGCAAGGCATCACAGTGGAATTCCTATGATATGCAGGTTGGATCTGATCTTTGCAGCCAGTGGCTCAATGACCAGCGCAAATAAGAGGAGTGAAAGGGGACAACCCTGTCTGGTATCTTCCCCGAAGGGCAAAGGCTTTTGACATTCTACCTTACTGTTTTATGGTAGCCTGTTGGTTTCTGTACAATAGACAGATTTCAAGAAATATAAACCTCTCCAAATCCAAATTTGATCAGAAGCACCCATAGATAGGCCCAATCAATACTATCAAATGCCTTAGTGGCATCTAGTGATAGCAATGCCCTTTTGCTTTTATTATCAGCCAGGAATTGCATGTTGATAAAGAGCCTTCCAAGGTTAATGCCTGTAGATTTATGGGTATAAACCCCCCTAGTCAGAATGTACAATGGACGTAATAACCCCATTAAGTCAGGTAGCCAACTCTTTATCTAAAATTTTCACATCATTTTGTAAAAGGGATAGTGGCCTATATGAGCCAGGGTCAACCTTCTATTTACTTCCATTGGCTCAATAAATATACATTTAAAAGTTTTTTTTATATATATCTGTTCAATAAGTTCAAAAAATACCTGTTGATTTTGACTGAAATTCAGTGCTGTTATCGGACCTGCCAAGTTCTTATCTTCTTAGACTACAAAAC